ATGCAGTTAGTATCTTGGCCGCGACTGACCTAGTCGTTAAAATTGGTAGCAACTGTTCCTTCGCCATGTGATAGGCACTTTGAAGTGAAAGTTGAGGGTCCTTCGGATATTATTACTAATGATAAACTAATTTTTTTTTTCAGAATACTTCTGTTCTTTTACTTGTATGAAAAAACATTTTTTAAATATATAACTTATAATAAACAATTTTTTCTTATACTTTTTTAAACTCTTTGATCTTTCTCTTTGATTAAGTAATTAGTACTGTTTTGCGGATGAAATTTAACGGAATCTATTGAATGGTTTGGCGTTACACTCCTCGGCCTTGTTGATATTCTTTAGAAGTCTGGGGATAAATAATTTTGTCTTTTCTTTAATCGACTTATCTACAAAACAAAATGGTTCCTTGAAAATACATATATTTCTTTAAAATTATAGTTCACATGGACATAGAGAATAAAAACATAAAAGAGAGAAGGAATACTGTATACGTGGAAATTTTACGGAGACGCAAATTTAGCGATTTATCTTTAAAAAATGTATTTAATTTTAGTTTGATGTAATGTTAACGAATTAAAAATGCTCACTAAAGAGGCTTTTTTAAATAAAACACAATATATCTTTAATGAAATTTAATATTAGCGATCTACTCACCCTCGCTAATTGTGCAAAATTGAAGTCCTCGCTTAATATTCTGGTAATACGGTAAATTATAGGTTTTCATTTTTCATCAGCAGAATTATAAGTTTTAAATTTAAGAAAGAGTATCCAGGAAAATGTTTTTAACTATTGAATTCAAAAAAAATACTTAAGAAATGATGTATCATTTAGAATTTAAAACTTAGAACTTTAAACAGTTGCATTTATTATCAGTGCCAACCAGTTTTATATGAAATAAGTATACAAAGAGGTTATCAATAACATCAGTGTTCTAAACGCACTACATGTAACAGTGGTATGATTCCAAAACAACAACTCGTAAATTTATTTACATTGTCATTGGTCTTTGGAAAAATTTGAAGTTTGAAAACAACAATTCCTAAATTTAACTACCTGGTCATTGGTCATTTGCTAAATTATATAATTAAAACATGTACAGATTCTGATTGCACACACAAGTACTCTGAACTTGAGATTCTTGAGTTTCTGATCGACAATATCTATGTGGTTTTTGCGCTCGGTTATTAGCAAAACTATTTTTGTATTCATAAGAAGCAGGATTTGTGCCAAATCTTATGCGTGAAAAGAAGAAAACACTTGCTATGGTCCTCAACTCGTCATTTAGATATATTGAGGACCTGTTGTCAATTAAGTACAGTCATAGTAATTTTAATTCGTATGTCGATACGATATGTTCTAGTAAGCTTGAGACAACAGATACTACAACTTCTGACACATCTGTTTTATATTTTAATATTGTACTTGAAAAAGACGTTAATGGTAATCAAACAACCAAGCTTTTTGATAAACGTGATAACTTTAACATTTCTATCGACAACTTTCCTACTCGTGCAGCAATATCATCACCTGCATTCAGAGTCTATATATCTGAGCTTATTCGATACACAAGAGCATGATCTACGTGTGAACAATTTCTTTAAAGTGGTACATTATTGACAAAAAGTAATCATTTCATAAGTTCTATGCATATGGTCGATACAATGGCCCTGTCAGCAAATACAATTTGTCATTGATTCAAATGCTGACTGATGTTTTTCATACTAACTGTTAGTCCATCATTTAGACTTTGATTTGACGACGGATTTTTTCCGTTATTTCCAGATCATGACAAGGAGCACACGGAGGTTGAGACCGGTCGGCAGATGATCCTCACTCCTTCATGGCACCTGATCTCACATCTGATGTTTAAGAGGTCCGTGGTTGCCCTTCTTCTGTTTTATATCATTATATGGACTTTGATATTGAATACTGTTCGTTATCTCCATATCCTTGATATTGGAAAGTTAAATTCCGTCTCGAAAATTGTTAACATTTTAGCAAGCGACAAAAAGTTGGTCATCAGTGATTTTGTAGGTATTGAGAGTTGGAGAATGTATTCCTTTTTTAAAACATGTGTAATGAAGTATTAGCTCTTGTTTATAGGGAAAAAAAATTGGTAAAGTTATGTAAGCCTGGAATAAAGAATACATTGTTGAACAATAAAGATTATTAAATGACTGTACTAAATATCAAATCGTGTGTAAATATGACGCTGTCCTTTGCGATTATTTTTGTCAGGTTCGAATTTTCAAGGTAAAATTTTATTTCAACAATACTATTTTTATGTCAAGGATTTTGAAAAGCATTTAAGAGGATTACCCTTCAATTGCTAATAATGTAATAACATTAAAACATTTTCCTGGATACTCTTTCTTAAACTTATAATCCTGCTGATGAGAAATGAAAACCTATAATTTTACCTTCAAAACAGGCACCATTTATTTTATTATACTAAATGTCTTATTGATTTAGGATGTCAGCAAAAAAAAAAAAAAAATAAAAACAAAAAAAAAAGTTGATCGTCTTTACATGATTGCAAATGATTTATTTCAAAATATTGTTCAATTTCAGTATCAAAGGTCTGTAACTAGAAGACCGGAAAACAAGTTGTATGAGCCGTGATCGTGGAGCTTTGCGGTATGTAGATTGTGATTCTGTATCCAGACTCTATCTCCTTTGTTGAGTAGCAGATGGAGCGTTTGTCCTGACTGAGGAAACGTCTTCGATGCAGAGTATAAGATAGACATCTTCTTCCCATGTCTAACAATTTGCAAATGCACACTATTTGATGTTTGAGCCATGAGTGTACACGATATTGTGTAGAGGCCATCATAGGGAGCAGTGAATATCCCGGTCTGTGAATTATAGGCCCCGCCCCAATTCGTTAACACGTGATCATACTTGACCACCCCGTGACCACTAATTGTTGTATCGCTTGAGAGCTTTGCAGTGAATGCAACCACAGGCTTTTTGTATTCTGAAAACAAAGCGTTTATGTTTTAAAGGAACAAAACAAATCCGTTAGCATTGTATGCGTCGACTTAAAGGAGGGGGAAAAGGTCTTTCAAGTTAATATGTCTTTCAGCCACATTCAATTGCAGTCTATAGTTGCTTAATGTTTAAACATTTGCTCAGTCTCCTGCTAGCTTTAACTGTGGTTTCATTATTTTTATTTTAAATAATATAAACATACAAGGCCTCTTACTTCAAAATTAAATATTCTAATATATTTTAATCAGTTTAGGTAAATTGGACAATAAACACCTTAAAAATAAAAAAAAAACAATGTCAGAGGAATTATAAGACATGCACTACAAACTACTTACCTGCACAGAAGGTTGAACCTTCACAGAAATTCAGGACCAAAATCAAACAAAACACAACACAGAAGGTCTGCATTTTTGCTTAATAAGTTCTGAAGAAAACAATGAGAGACTTTGACATCATTAAAATTATATATCGAGATAAAGATAATAATTCAAGCTCAGAATCCATTAAATTATAATCGGGAGCAGAGCAACCTCGGACTTCTAAAATATCACAGGTGGGATCAAGTGCAGGATGAAGGAGTGAGGATCCTCCACCAACTGGTTACATCCACCGTGTGTTGTTTGTCATGATCGGGTAAATTGATAAATTCGTCGACAATTCAGCATACAAATGATGGTTTAACAGTTAGGTTGAAAAACGTCAGTCAGATTTGACTTAAATATAGATTGCATTTACTTAAAAGGTCATTGTGAAAATACCAACTATTAAAATGCAAAATAATCGGTCCATAACAGGCAGTTGGCATTTTTATTTCATCAATTAAATTGCCAACAGCTTCCTTCGTGAACATGCAGAAAATAATCTTAAACTGATTTACATTTAACTACATTATGAAGCATTTCATTCATTCGACGTCAATTACTTTGACATTGTAAACTCTTTAAATCAGTTATTTTAGGTTGCTGAAGAAACGTTTTCTAGACATACATGTAAGTTAATTTTATAATCAATTAAAGTATAAAAATACTCATCACACACTGATATCGTTACTCTGTTTTTTTTATTTTTCATTGTGGAACAATCTATCAGCATTTAACGAACGTTATAGACGTAAATATTTTGCTACTAGCATGGTGGTGACGTTAAGTATTTTTAATTATTGAATTTTTAGTTTATGCAACTTTTTCTTGGATAAAGGTTATGTTTCGTCAGTATACTACACAACCAAGTAAGTGCATTTACAATTAAATGCTATAATTATATTACAAGCAATGTAATGGTCAGATTATATTAAGTAAAATCTTTAGCTATTAAGAAGGGACAGAGGAAAAAACACCCAAGCCTTCTATATGATCTGACTTTCTTAGAACACAAGTTACTTTTCATTGGCTGTGTCAATTTATTTCTTTACGTTTTTACTTCGGTATTCTCCGTGAAACTTCGTATCTAAAGAAACTGATTTTTCATGCACGAGCGATTAAGCGCTCACTATAAATACTTATATCAGGGAATGTTCGATTAATGCGACGTTCGTTACAAAGAATCGCAGGTTGTTTTGTGTCTTTGGCATGTTTACATTACAGAGTTTTATTTTCAAGTTCAACTTCTAAAAGAGATTTTCATTAAAAACAACGTACATAACCAAGCTTCAATTCTGGACAGGATTTTGATGTCATGGACGCTGTCAGTTAATTAAACAGCAGTTTTAGCTCAACGAGGAGAGATTGCGAGGTTCAGAATGAAGTTGAGTATAATAGTCATTTTTTAGACTATAAATCTGACTTTGACAGTGTCTGCTGAAAATTTAATTGTTTCAGTTTAAGATTGTTTAAAAAAAATATATATATCTTGAATTATAAGAATGCTATAAAACAAAGCAATAATATTTTAAATGTTTTCAAATTTGGTCAAAGTATAGAATTTATATCATAGATGTATTCTAAAGTTGTATATTGGTCTAACAAAAAATCAATATTGCAGAGCGCCCCCTCCCCCGTTATTGAAACGTACATTTTAGAACTGATGAGAAGAGTTAGCTATCGAAGGATTTGAACCGCCATTTTTGTTAATCCCCTGAACCTTTCGGCTCTATTGAATAAAAAGCAAAGGTTGATTGTTGATTTTAGACAATTGAATGCATGCGTTTTAAAGAGAAATTTCAAATTAGAGGGGTCTTCAGAGGGTCTCATTTTGGCAAAAGGTTTATTCATGATCAAATTCTATCTAACAAGTGTTTATCATCATGTAAATTTAATCCGGAACTTCAATGGCCCAAAGCGTTATTTCGTATTCACAGTCCTACCATTTGGTCTCAATAGTGCTGGTTATATTTTACTAAAGTATTTAGACCACTAGTATTGTTTTGGAGAGCTAAAGCATATGGAGTTTTAATGTATTTAGACAAGAGCTGGGTTATCGATCAAACAAAACTGTATTTTATTTTTACAAAATATTCAAAAATATTTGTTGCAAGCCGGTTTTCTTATTATTGATGCTACAAGTAAGAGTCCTATGCAAAGTTAGAATGGCTCAGTTTTGAGTGGAATTAAGAAGCGGGTATCCCTGGATATAAATAAAAAAGTTTTGTATAGCAAGATAATAATAATTAAAAAAAACTGTCAATGCTTATTGCTAATGCATCATGTTTGGATGAAAATATTAAAATTTCACTGCTTCAAAGGTGTGAGCTAGAGTTCTTTTGTTTAAAAAAAAGCCTATATGTATTCCAGCCAGGGTTATTTCCCCACGGTATCGCATACGGAACGCATTGTTTTTACTGATGCTTGTGATTTTAAAGGGGATAGAGTGATGTTAGATTCAACTAAGAAAGTTTTGCATGTTATGGGGGCCGAATCAGAGAGAGTTCGAAGTTCAACTTTTAGAGAACTTAAAACAGTTGAAATGTTCTTGAAAATTTTGGTGTTTTGTTTAGAAAATAAAAATTGTAAAACTACATATACACAATCAAAACGATGTTACATGTAGAATTTCGCAGATCGGAACAATGAATACGGATTTGTTATCTCTTGCTTTTACTATATTCACTTTTTCTGTAGGTTGGGTTTCAGCAGAGCAAAAAGTGGAAGCAAACTTTGTCGTTTTGGGCATAAGCAATTATATTGTTGCATTTTTCAATAAGGTTTGGGGACGTTTTATTTGCGATATCTTTGCATATTAAAAAATTAAATTAGAAATAAATAAATAAATAAATAAAAAAAATAATAATAAATAAAAATAAATAAATAAATAAATACATGTAAATAAATAAATAAATAAATAAATAAATAAATAAATAAATAAAAATAAACTGTCCAAATCCTGGAATAAATAAATAAATAAAAATAAATAAATAAATTTTTCTTTGTTTAGGATCCATGGAACAAGCGCGCAGTCGACGCATTTTCTTTCGACTTGTCACAGGATTTGGATTGTTCCTCCCATTTATTAATTATTAGATAGGGAGGTCACTAAAACAGTTACATGTATCAAATTACGGTTCTGCAGTGTATATGTTGCCTTAATTGTTCCGAAGTGGAATTCAGCAGCTTTTTGGTCTTCCTTGAAAAAAAAAATAAAGTTCTTGTGGTTTGTGAAAGATGTGAGTATTTAAAAAAAGGTTCATGTTCTGATAAAAACAACGTATTTCTGAAAACAAATTTAGTAATTTTATAGCACCGCAATTGAATGCTTCGTCATTAAGTCATTTAACACTATACAGATGTATTTATATGTTCATTTGCATGTTTTGATAGTGAAATATGGACATAATAGTACACAAAGGTTGACTGCTAACTAGTGTACAATGCGCATGCATACTTAAATGAAATGATTGGATGACTGTTATCAAATAAGGAGTAAGATATTTGCAAATTAATCAGTAATGCTATAGCACTGGGATTGGATGCTTCGTAATTAAGTCACTTTAACACTATATTTATATGTTCATTTGCATGCTTTGACCGTTAAATATGAACAGAATAGTACACAAAGGTTGACTGTTAACCGGTGTACAATGTGCATGCATATGTCACAGGTGGTGAAAAGTCAAGTCTCAACCGGGACTCGAACCCAGGGTCTCTGGCGTACCGTGCCAGCGCTCTAACCAACTGAGCTATTGAGACCCGATATCTTGACTGACTTTCACGCATCTGTGAACCCGGTGACATATTCCCCCTCTTTGTAGAAATTCGTCCTTGCATGAATTCTTTGAGTTCAGAAAAGTGCGTGAAACATATTCCTAGGGAACAGTGGGTTATTTTCGTTGGGCGCCAAATGTCACAGGTGGTGAGAAGTCAAGTCTCAACCGGGACTCGAACCCAGGGTCTCTGGCGTACCGTGCCAGCGCTCTAACCAACTGAGCTATTGAGACCCGATATCTTGACTGACTTTCACGCATCTGTGAACCTGGTGACATATGATTTTGATGATAAAGTTGCTTGTAAATATGTGTGACATAATATTGTGGCTATTATTGGTTACTGTACAAATTTGGTTTGAATTTTAATTTGCTTTCATGTTAATATATATTTCAGACTTTGAAGAATTATCAAGGCCAATGGATAAATATTTACAAGTTTAAAGTCGATTTTCCTTTTAGCTACATAGTGGAGTTTTTGCTGTGTATATTGTGAGAAATACAAAATCTCAGTCAACGTACAAGATCTACGACATATATTTCTCTATATTCAGAGATTGGTGTTCGAAGCATTCATTTACGCATCTTCCTGCATCAGTGTCTACTGTCGCTATTTTTGTGGGAGGTTTGGTGCAACAGAGGGTATCAACGTCGGTTCTGTCTACAGTATAAGTCGGACTCATGAATTTTCTTCAAACTTGAATCCATGCAAGGATAAGTTTCTCTGATGTGTTTATTGTGTTTTTCTGGTATGAAATATTTGATTATGTGATACCAATTGTTGGGAAAGTGCTCACATCGAAATTGATATTGCCAGAGGCAAAACGGATATCTACAGGAAAGGAAATTCGGTGATATACGCAAAAACTGGAAACGATTTGTGCCCGGTGTTTTGGCTAAACATCGACATGTCTGAGATGGATAAGTCTTCCAATGATTACATGTTTACAGATGTTAATTTTGTAAAATCCCTCAATAAATGTAAAGTTTTAAATAAACTCAAACCTCTGCCATATACAAGAGCTAGGAAAATATTGTTGTCTTCTTTAAATGAAATTGGTCTTGACAGTTTTAAATATGCTTTACACAGTTTACATAGCGGCGGAGTTACAGCAGCTGCTAATAATAATGTGTCTGTTCGATTGCTTAACGTACATGGTCGGTGGGTCACGGATAAAGCCAAAGACAGCTATATAAAAGCCAATCTTGAACATAAAATTCTGGTTTCAATGTATCTTGGATTATCAAATTATTAAGATTTATTGCACCAACTGTCCTTTGTTTAAT